TACTGTGCTATCTAGCTGACTGCTTCTAGCTTTACTTCAGTGACTGTTGTCTTGTGAGTGCTTCGGAGCAAATGCTACTTGCTGAATGCTAGCGATGTCTCGTTGAGTTGCTCCTCGTGGCTGCATTTTCCCCTTTTCTTTACTAAACTGAGCGGGCTGTTGCGCACGCAGGTAACTGAAACTCGATTAGATGTCGTGTGTACGATGCCATGAGATCTCTGGTGGCCCTTTCGAAAGCCCTCTACATTAAAATGTTTCAGCGGGAAACATTTTTTGTCCTGGTTATGTCACAACTGAACTGTTTTATTGTACTGAATAAAAAGTGTATGCGAACTGAAATATTAAACTGTTAACAACGGGGGCAAATTGAAGATTATTGATCATAATCCGTCGTGCCCCATTTTTGTACTGCCCTATATGGTAGTCTGAATGTGGGCACGTCGAACACGCCGACCAAAGCGGATAAAGTTGGTACTACGGGAGGCCAAATTCCAAGCCCTGCGCCTGAGGCTGCAAAGTCAAAATATGACATGTAGACCTAGGTATAACTGGCCAATTGAGATCGGACTCGTAGTGGTATGTCGTAAGGCCTCGGGCTTGTCACGTGTATCCCTGTGCCTGTTCAAGGTGCAGGTATACGAGTCCTGGAAAATGCCATCGCGAAGAGAGTAGAGTTATAATTTCCCAGAGTTATGCCCAAAGAGACGAGGTACTCAATTTCCGTCCTTCGGACGGGGGAAGCGTGGTGCTGTTCATGATACAATAATTAACTTTAAAAATAAACTGAGCAGCATGATCTGTCCAGACTTTGACGTGTTTTCTTTCAACAAAATGACGTAACTTGGTTATAGCCCAAACAACTGCCAGACACTCTTTGTCAGTCGTATCATAATTAACTTTTACTGGTAACAAAAGACCAGAAATGCAACAAAAAAGTAATTCACAATCCTTTTCTTTATCAAATTGAACTAACACTACACCTAATCCAACATTACTGGCATCAGTATATAACCTGAAAGGCAAAGAAAAGGAATATTTTGACGAACAAGTGTCCAGTGTAGCTGCAGAATTTAACATCTAGTTAACCCGCACTCCAATTTCATGGCCCCAGGCAAATCCAGTTGAATGTGTCAATAAGACTATCAAACCGATGGTAACTGCTTATCTTGAAGATACCGGACATTCGTTATGAGATGAGAACCTGGAGGAGCTCGAGTACCCCTATAATACCACGGTACATACTAAAACCAACCAAGTTGACACCTTTTTTTCTTATGTTTGACGCAGTCCAAGAAATGACATTACAGGACACAGTAGTATTACACGCATATACCTGTATTACACTTGCAGATTCAATAGTGCCAAATAATAAAATCAGAGCTTCTGTTAAAAGGCTTATATCTCATCCACCAACCTCTGGCCGAGATTTTACGATTTTTCATATATATCAACTTAAAAGAATATTGAAAAATTATAACATTGTCCAGAAAATACTTCAATTATTTGCATATTCGCGCTCGAGCAAGATTAACGTGTTACCAACTTTATAATACGTAAATAAGGAAACTTCATAGCAATCGAAAACTCTGATGACCAACTCGATAAAAAAAAAACGTATGATTGCTCCATGAATAAATTCTCATTTTACTCCATTTCTTCGCAACGAAATTGTTTTAATTTCGTATATTATAAATGAAGCAATGATGATACTTCATAGTATGCTTAATTGAAAGCCAACAATCACTTTCCGAGCAAATTTCCAATTTCAGCCAATGTTTATGTTATAATAAGAAAAAAATTTTAGTTTCAAAAATTATAGCCTGCAAAAATCATCTTATAACTTGTATGAAGCAAGATGTCGGCGATTTATGCTTAGCACACGAGACACTACCGTATCTCTTGATCTTTCTTAGTACAGTCTCCTGCTGACTTGTCATCACGCCATATTGTAAAATATGTGTATGTCACCGCCTAATGGTTTTCGGACAAACAACAGTTTTGTAAGTTGTTGACGTTGCTTGACGATTAGAATGTTTATAGCGACGGAAGGAGAGTTTGTTTATCTCTAGTTTATAACCGAGATTTGAATTGACAGGACGTCTTTTCTTATTTATAAAAAGCTGTCAATAAACAATTTATTTAATATCTTTTATTTTGAAGTCATTATTTCACTGTATTTTACAACATTGTGAGAGGCAATAATGTTATAAACTAGATATGCATTTTCTCAAAACAATAAGCGTTATAAGCAGAGAACACTGGAAGCAAAAAGCTATAGGAGTATAAAGAATATAAATGAAGGAAAGGTTAGCAGGTAACAGAAACTAAGACAAAAAAAAATCATTAAAAAACTAGGAAAATAAGCACAGGTGAATCCTATGTGGGAGAATCTTAGAACCAAAAGATGCGCTGAAGACGAGATAAAAAGAACAAGGGTAAAATGCGTGGATGATTAGAGGAAATTTGGGCTAGGCCTAAGTCATTAATTAATCCAAGCTTTGGATAGAAGAACGCCAATCTAGAAGCTTCCAAGGGATGCGCGGAAGGCACTTCAAGAAGCGCGGATTTGGATATTAAGAACACTCTCTTATGAAATTTTACTGGGCATGGTGCGAATCCATAATATAAATGGTATATTCAAATTCATTTTTCTTAAATTTTTACCAAGAATCATTTAAAAAAAACTCGCGAGTGCAAGAAGAAAGAAGACTAGAAGGTTCTGACTAAGATTTCCAACGGGGCAACGACAAGCGACTAACAAAAGAAGCCATAAAAAGTCATAAAGTTATCTTACCAGCACCGAGAGCCGAGAATTTCCAATCGACGCATCAGCCAGACCAAGCAACTGCAGCTTTCCACTCATAGACAACCTTCTGCTACCTAGCTACCTGTTAACCGAAGTTGTGAAACAAATTAGTGAGTAAAAAGAAGACAAAAATAAAGAATTGACTAATAAAAAAGACTCTATTTTTCTTTAATTTAACAAAAAAAAACAACATTTTTATGATTATCATGATAAAATACAGCGATTGATGCATGATTACCACTATTTTGGACGGAAATGTCCGATTTTTACATCGCATATTCGGGGTAATAAAGAAGTAGCCTATGTTAAAGGTGCCAAAATTTAGATTTTAAGCCGATTATAAACATGAAAAGTGGAAGAGAATGCTAGAACACGGACTCCATAAATAGAGATTGTAAGTCGTTGCCATGAATTGATCTGGAATCGTGTATAGTACCACCAAGACAGCTGTATAAATAACAAAGATACTGTAGTCGAGCGTAACAGCCTTTCTATAATCCCTAAAAACTGAATGTAAGTATGTGCTGTTCATGGTTTAATAATATTCAAAGAATTTGACAGAAAATTTATTTTTCAAGGCCAACTGCATATGAAAAGATCATCGGCTACTACGCGGACGGCTATAAACTTCTTTTTTGATAGAAATAATGGGTTAGTTAAAAAAAGATGAAATCATTATTGTTTAATAGAATTTACTTACGTGAGAATAAAATTATATTTCAATGGAAATAATAATTTAATGAAACCATAATAATCGGTTTTCAGCTTATTCGCTTCTAATTTGACACAAGATATATTTGCGAATTGCAGTACATTCTGAAATTTGGTCAGACATGGTAACGTGCGTCTGAAAGTACGCTTCGATAACGACTTAGCTTCAACAATAAAATGTATTTTTTATGCTGAATATAAGAATATAGTTGTAATTGATTTATTTCATCAAGGAGATCGGCATCGAGCTAACAGTCCGCTGTGTAATACATTCAAATAGTAAGCACTGTCTAACTCAAGATTAACTTTGTGCTTGATATACAAGAGTTTTTCAAGACCGACGCTGATTTTTTGCTGAAAGAAATTGCTTTAAAAGCTAATATTATTGAGCGTTGGATAGTTGCTCCTGAATTTTCATATTGTAAAAATACCTATAAAAATCGGTTATGTGTAAAGAAATTATAAATTCCAACAGCATGTCTGATAAGCCCCTATCAACTGTTCCGTGAACTGTAGAGATCGTTTGTTCATATTACTCTGCTATGGAGTAGATGTTAACAGGCCACCGTTGAATGTCAGCTGCTTATTGTTACCGCAGTCCGCTACAAAATAATTCATCAATGTACATCAAATTTATGCTTGGCTAGCAGCCAAGCAAAATTTGAATTGCGACGATAATAACTGCAAAGTATGTAATGAATACGTTGCAAATTGTAAACGCTCTTCAATACATCTCGGCTCATACAATATATGAGCGCGATTTTATAATGAAGCGCGAGGTTAAGAAGAGTAAAATAGCCAGCGGGCCAATCTTGGAGCACAAAAATATTGTTATTAAAAATGTAACTTATTTGTAACTCCTCTAATAATTGACCAAAAATTATTCTTCTATACTTTAATACAAGATTATAATCTTGAATGACAACCTGTCAAATATAAAAGCATAATATGTAGTCATTACAGAGATATTTGCATGTGGAGATTCGTTGATGACATAACGAAATATTTTTCGTGTGTAGAGTCGTTGATAGCATTGGCGCACATAGGAAAAAGAGTGCACTAGTATAAACGGTAGAGACAATGAATATGCGCTAGATGCCAAATATCTACCAATACTCTCGATAAATAGTCTAGCTTAATAGTTGTGGTAAACCGGGATATGAATTTTCAGATTGGTATTCTTTTACAATGCAGTTTATGCAGGTTTGTCGAAGTCATTCTTCATGACTTTTTTTTATAGTACATGAAGTTCAGAGCATACATCTGACAACAGATACGGTTAAATCGACAATCTCTAGAGAAGTATTTCGATTGGGATGATTCGTTGACACTAATGATTTTCTTCAACAATATTATAATTTTCAAGTAATAAATTTTACGCAGAGAATAATTTTTCGTATGTACTCAATAAAAACCATGAGATCCACGTAAAAACAAACTAGAGATCAATATTTAGTAATAATTTCTTATGTATTTCTGTAAAAAAAATTATATTTCTTTCCGGAGTTTAATTTCTCTTCATTTTAGTAGATTGTATGAATATTTGAATCTATGTTCTTGGGTGCGAAAATTAGAATAAATTGATTAGTTCTCCAACTGATTTGTAATGAATTTAAAGTTTTTTTAATCTAGTTCGACTAGGGATCAAGTGTTACAGAATGTTGTGATTATAGAAACATTTATCGATAGTGTTGATACATTTGAAAATCTATGAATTTCGCCATTGGCTTTATATATTTTCTATTGCTATTCAATAAAGAATTCATCCGTTGTTTTTATTATTTCGTTCTTTATTTTATACATGAATGTAAGACCTAAATCAACAAATGGCACTCGTTTGTTGTAACGTACATACATTTCGTAAATTGTTTTGTTTATAGAATCTCTTGTACACGATATAACATGGATTTTATTCACTTTTTCGTTTTTTTTATTGATGTATTGTTTGTCATTTACTGATAGATCACAAATTTTTTCTCGATTCAATATCATTTTCTCAATATTTGTGTATAATGTATTATATAATGATGTTGAAACTGAAATGGTTCGTAAGACTTTCCGTTTTTTAACAGTTGTCGTAAAAGAAACTCCATCTGCCATCATTTGCAAGTTTTCAAACTTCAATTCAAATATTTCATTTGGCTGTAAATTTGTGATGACTAGTAGAACAACTGCTATCGACGTGTCGATAATGCTACGAGCGTCAAATTTATGTGAATGTGTAGATGTGAAGTTTTTGATATATCGTAACATCATTTTGAACAATTGTTTCATGTCGTTTATACTTTCCTCACAAATATTGTTTGAACGATCGGCTGTTCGATGTTTACGAGGAAAACCCATTTTACTCGCAGACCGATCGAGTGAAGAATTCAATAATCGCAATGTAGAGTATATCACGTTGACGTAACTATTGGATAATTTTTTTCGTCTACATCCTGTGTTTTTTATGTAGTTTAAAATGGAAACGACATTATTGTTGTTTATATTCGCTACATTTATCTTAAGCTTTTGTAACTTCTTTACATGAGATAAATGCATAGACACAGTTGATTCTTTAAATGAAGCAACCTTAGTGTAAAAAGCCTCACTCAAATTCATACGGTGTTTTTATAAGATCACACCTATTCTCAATTTATTTGGTCAAGACCGCTCTAAATAAACTGATGAATTTGATAATATTATAAAATAAATATATGCCCTCATCCATGTATAAATTAAGAAACGACTGAATTCATTATTAACAACGTTTAACCGGTTTGTTTACATTTAGTTTCTGACTGAGACTTGAGCTGAACAGGAAAATTTTCCCTGTCATAAAGATCTTACCATTGATTTAATAAATAATTGAATTGTCTCGTAATATTTATTAAAATTATTATTTTATCGTAGTATACATTGAGCATTAAAAGTGAGGCGCTCTGGCATCAGTTCAATGATTTCTTCTCGTGAAGTAGGATGTCGAGAGATTCTGGAGTTTCTGGCAACCCGAAAAGAATCAAGATGATTCAGTCAATATTGGTGGACTATTAGCTATGCAGGTGCATCAATTGAAAGAATAGATAAGAAAAAATAAATGGAAATGTTGACGGATATGATAGAACAGCTAAGCCAATTATTTAATAATAATAACAAAAATTTTCTATTTTCTGTTCACTCTCCGTCCTCCCTCCCCTGCACTGAGCCTTGGCGCCATTGAGCTGGATCAATGTATACAGTAAAAGCAGTCGTCAAGTAGTCATAGGTCGGCTTTACTTTAGCCCGTCTTCATAGCAAAACTGCAGAAGTCCAGCTGCCTCGACACCTGCCCTCTCTTATCATGTGAAGAGAACTCTTTTCTTCCTGTTCACAGCACCGACAGGTGGATTTCTCCACGCGTTCCAGCATCTCTATGTGGCGTCGAGTTTAGGGCGGTAGTAGACCCTTTTGCCATTGACTTCCGAATAGTCCAGTAACGGTGCAATTAAAAATAGGGGTATTAACGAATTTAAGCTTCCATTTCGAACCGAGGTAATTTTTATGTAAAATTGCAAGAGGATTCTAAAAAACTATTCGCAGGCAAAAAAAAGTACGCGTCATTGAGTTTTTTTTTTATAAGTCCCCAGAGTCGAATACGATCGTTTCCCAGTGGACGTCTGTGTGTGTGTATATACGTATGAACGTATCTGCGTATGTACGTATGTACGTATGTGTGTTCGGAATTATTTTTCGCCTCGATTATCTCGAGAACAAAAAATCATATCGATGTGAGACCAATTGCATTCGACGCGTAATTATGTAACTTAGAACTAATTAGATTTTCAGCAAAATCGGTCTAGCTATTTTTTTTTGCCTTTTGCCTGAATTTTGCAATTTATAAATTATACCATGTTTAGACAAAATTTCGAAATCTTAAAAAAATGAATATTAAATAATTAAAATATTTGTATGAAAATATGGTAACAATATTTCATCAAAAAAAAAATTTAAAAATACAAAATCAGCAATGAAAAAATTTTAAACTCGTGTCAGGATTGAGAAAACAGCATTAAAGACGCTATAACAGTCAATAATAGTTGTTAATAATATGGAATTGTGTCCATAACAATTGAACATTGTTACTAACAAATGATTATTGATCATGGTAATATTTAAATAAAAAGTTTTAAATTGTTATAAACAATAAAAATAGGGATCCATGCTATATATATGAGTACTTTTAACGCATAATTTTTCTTTTACTAAAAAAAAGCTACCAACCGTATAACATAAATGAAAACATACTTTTTTCGTGTATAACAATGAAATTCGTTATAAATAATTGAAAAAAGGATCTATGAGGTATATTTGAATTCTTCTAACGCACAATTTTTCCTTTTAGAGAAATGAAGTAACTAACCATATCAAATGAATAAAAATACACTTATTTCGTTTATAACAATTCCATTTGTTATAAAGAATGGAAACGGGTTCTACTCGGGGTGTTTTTTCATTTTTTCCATTGGGAAGTTGGTCGTGTGGTCGTATGCAGAGCACTGATATTTTAATTAATATGTTTTTTGGATTCTTCAACCCCCACCTAAGATCTTGCCACCCCATGCAATACTACGCAGCTACCTTAACTTCCCTCAGAACCACTCCGTTCGACATAAATCCATCCCCACTGCGTGGTGTGCATGAGAGTGTCGTCCGCCAAAGGGGCAGCATTCTACTCAGGCATTAGTGAAGAGGACGGCCATCCGCGTGAGAAGTAATAGACAATAAAGAAGCGTTGAGCAGGAGATGCAGCGCTACTGGTTTCCGAAGACCGTACTAGTCCAGTAACGGTGCAATTTTATCAGCATATTCAAGCTTCCATTTTGAACCGAGGTTATTTTTATGTAAAATTGCACGAGGATTCTAAAAAACTATTCGCAGGCAGAAAAAAATGTACGCGTCATTGAGTTTTTTTTATTATAAACAATTTTTGCCTGCTCGAATTTCCAATCGATCTCAAAACGATTTCTTAGCATAATATCGAAAAATTCAATCGTTTTTCTTTTTCATATGTCTAAAATTATTCATTGTCAATTAAAGACTTTCATTCAAAATTTTATCAGATTTCGTTAATCTTATACTAAAAAATCGTTTTGAAATCGATTGGAAAGAATTTTGTAATACCGACTGGGAAGTTAATAATTGAATTATTACTTGATAATTTTTATTTTATGATGTGATTCACAGTGAATTACCAAATTTTTCAAAGTTTATTTATTATCCGCGCATGCGTGCGGCGTCGCAATTGGCATGGTTTGGCTAAAGGGCTTTGACGAGCCACCTAGTAGTTTCAGCGCAGTGATATAGTTCTCGGCTGATATACAGTGAGCAGATTCAGTGTTATTACGCTCCAGAGTAAAAGTGGAGGGGCTGTTGCGTGGTGGGACCGAGTCCGATTCACACTGGCTGAACGTCGTTTCGAGCAATTAGTCTTGCCCAGCCAGGACCAATGCACGTACGCATTTCTATATTTAGGGTCGCTATGTGCAGATATGTATGTTCCAACTTCTTTTCAGCTACAGGCGTGGCGCTTGAGCAGTAATTGTGCAAGCAAAAGCACGGCAAGTAATGAATGTACAAAAAAAAAATAGATATGTTTGGGGCATGATGGCCGCTGCATACACACGTACTCACAACATATGATTTTCTCAGGCATACGTAATTAAATATAATTGTTGATAAAGGCATATTTTATTTTTTATATGATTGATATGTTTTAATATACATTTACGTCAACCTTACATAGTCATGAGTTAAATATATAGTGAAAATTATAAAAATACAGCGTTATAGTATTAAAAAATGTTTCCATTCAATTTCTTCTTTGATATCCAAAAAGTAGTATCAGAAACTCATCTTTAATGCGCCGCTTTGTATTCTGTATGTGGGTTGTTTTTGTTACACGACGAACCCTTCAATCAGGTTGTTGCACGTCTTATCAATTAAATCATCCGGGTAGTTGCCCGTTTCATGATCTGTACTATTTTTATTAGAAATATAAATAACTGAATCAGTATCACCATATAAAGCGCGAGAGCCTAATTTTTCTAGGTAAGAATATAACTTTAAACAGGCGTGAGCTGTTATGTACGCGGCTTTGACGACATTTGTAGTCAGGTGTGTCTCGAGAGCTTCTTCTTTCTGTACGTATGACTCTTACAAAATTTCATTATTAACGCAGTGTAAACCTGTGATGTCGATTTCAGGATTTGTCAGTAATTTCATAAGCTCAACACGATTATTCACTGTTTCAGTTTGGGTTAGATTTTCACGCTGACCAAATTTATACCATAACGAATTTACAAATAATTTTGCAACAGATCGCAAACCGGAATTATATATTATTTTTCCCCTTTCTAAATTTATGCCTTCAGCTTTTTTATCATTTTCTCTATGTAATTTTGGTTGAATAGGATTATTTTAACATTGTTCCGGCGAGACAAAACAAATACAGCTCGTGTTGTTGTATATTTTGTCATAAAAGATGCGAATTAGTTGATATTTTCAAACTAGAACCATTTTTTTTTAAAACTGTTGAAAGTTACATTCCCACTCCTCAATAAGAGTATACCTTGTTGAACGTATTTTATTTGAAGTAGCCCGTGTTGATTTCATCTGTTGATCACTTGTACGAAATTGTTGATTTCTGTTTACGCGATAACACATTGTACTTCTATGCCAATCACACCTATGAAATTGGAAGACAATTTTTTCCGGAGTTTTTGAATTATGATAATAACCGTCGACTAAAGTACCACAAGGTAACCAAATCTTTGTACGCTGAGCCGCATGATGTGACCGCGCTTTTTCTCCCGGATTGTTAACCATGAAATCGCTACTGATAATTGATTGAATGACCATCGACATACACTGTGTGGCGGTAGAATGCCAATTGTATTAGATTCTAAAAATTTCTTTCCAACAAATTACCGATCGGGTTGTAATAAAATAAATAATCACGTTTACCACAAAAAACACAGTTTTGTGATAAATTATTATTACCAGCACAATACACGCATACTTTCTGAACAACACGAAGATTACGGACATGTAGTTTTGTCATTCTATCACCTTCGACATGCTCGTGCTGTTGTGTTTCAAAATCGTAGAAGAAAAAAAAAACTACTGTTTGAAGCTGCGTTGTGTTGCACATGCTGTTTTGTTTCAGATATACCGCATATTTTTAGATAAAAACATTTTTCGCTAATTTCGTATTAGATGACAAATAGTTAAATCTTTACCTTTGCCATTAAGTAAAACAGACCTCTTTAATATATGTTTATTACAGCAACTATCACTTAAAAAATATCTATTACATTCATTACATATTCGCTGTCTTACAGGTTTACAAACAGGTGCAAAAATAATACAAACGAGCAAAAATAATAACAAAAATTCTCGAACAACTGAAGCCTATCTACATAACATTACCGTTTGTATCAGTTATGGACGTCAAGATGATCGTTCAAGAATTGTGCCAGCTTTTCAATGAGCACGTTGTAAATGAAGCGATGCTTTAAAACTTTTATCATACCACGGGTAAAATTGTTGTAGTTAATTTTTGTGCAATCATTCATATATCAGACTGTACTATGATAATAAAATATCAATAAAAATATTTTCACCTC